ATTTAAAAACAATCTACCTCCAAATAGTTGGGAAATAGCACTACTGATTAGTACTTTTAAGAATAAAAAATATTAAAAAAATGGTCAACATTTCTTTTGACAACATTTCAACCTGTGTTGTTGGGACAAAAAATACATCTTAAAAAAAAAAAAACTTTTTTAAAAGTATGCAAAACTAAAAATTAAGAAAAAGAAAAGATTTTAAAAACCGTGTCTGACTAGGAGGAGGATATACTAAGACGAATGTTGTTTTTTTCTCCCTTAATAAAAAAGGCGAAAAACGTCTTTAGTTTTTAGACACCAATTTCTTATAATCAGTTTTATAAAAAAAAAAAAAAACTTTTCTCTCACTGCATCAAAACTGATGCAGTGAGAAAAAAGTTTTTTTTAAACAAAATAAACCCTGAGTGAGTTTGTAAATAATTACATTACAAACTCGAACATGTAATAAACAAATACAAACCCATTGAATAATACAAGTAAAATTTTTGTTTTCAATTATTAGAATTAAAATAAACTCACTATGTACATTTTTTGTTGTTGTTAATCACTAATTTATATTTAAATATTGGGGATAAATAAATTTGAACAATTTATTTTTTTGTTTTTTATAAACATGCTCCGACTTGATCGATAAAATGTCATATTCACCAATACACAAAAAATAATCAATGCAAACACGAAGCTTAATGTCATTTAGTTGCTATTAAATTGCTAATCGGTTTTACTTTTATTCTTTGTAAAACTCTTCCAAATCGTGTGGAGAAAGACAAAAAGAAAAATGACTTTTCATAAACAACAACCTTTCCACGTGTTTTTCACCATCTTTATTTTAAAGACAACTACTGAATTTTCTTCAGATTGAAATTATTCCGATAACCGATAAAAGATACAAAAAGAAAAAATGAAATAATTATCTTTTATTATTCATGTTATTCTATATTCTAACAGTTAGAATTAGTTTTACTAACGTGAGTTGTTTGAAATTATAGCTCTACAAAAAAAAATTTCAAATAACGAAATTATTTTTAAATGCGTACAAAAACTATTTTTAAAAAAGTTAACTGGAAGAAATGCTAATTTTAAAAAATATTTAAAAAGTAGAAAAATTCTGATTCTATTAAATCTCAGATAATTTTTTTTTTTTTTTTTTTGCAAAATCGATTTTAAAGCGAATGTATATTTTCTAATTTTAAGTTTCATAACGAATTTACTTTACAAAGTTTACATATTTGTTAAAAAAAGTGTTAAGTGTGAAAAAAGCGGGTAAAACGATTCCATTTTTTTCAACAAAAGAAAAATACAAAGGGATGAGTCCGCTTCCCATCACGAAAAATAATTGAAATTAAATTAATATTTTCTGTTTTGTTTTTTTTATTTAAGCTCACAAATCAAATTCGGAAGCTTTGTTTTTCTTCAAATTCTTCAACGTGTATTTAAAAAAAAAAAAAAAGTTACTTTTCAACAGAAAAATGAATGGCAAAGTGGTCACATGGCATCATGAGTAAAAAGAAAGTCTTCTGAAATTATTTCATTATATCTCCTTAAGTTCGATCTTCATAAAGTGCAGAAAATATAGTTAATGCTGGCAAATAATTTGCTAATTTAAATCGAAAGTAAAATAAAATTATTAGTTAAGAAGTACATTTTATTTTACTTTGATAAAAGCGGCTCTACTACGGAATTAACTGATCTAATAAACTGAAACACCTCAATTAAGAATTGATTTATATTCCACCATACAAATATTGCACACAATATGAGTCACAGCAAAATCTACAACTGATACAAAAAAAAAAAAAAAAAAAAAAAAAAAGGCATGCCATAACTTTATGACTAATCATAAAAAAATTAAGCGGAAAAAAATTCTAGTCTAAAATTAGTACAATTTACATCTCAAACTCTTAAAAAATAAAAAGCATTTTCTTACAAAGTTTAAAACTAACGGCGCAATTTAATGGATTTTTAAGGTTTGTTAATTTTAGGCGCCAAAGTTAATTTTTTTCAAGTAAATAAGACATATTTTTTTTTTGCACAAAACATTTTCAGCGAATTTTGTGGACAATAAGGAACTTTATTTTAAAACCACCTTAGAGTTATAATTCGATTTAAATATCACTAAAAATCGAAAAATTTTCAGAAATCTAAAGATTAGCTAAGAAAAAGCTGATCGCAACTTGACCTGAATGCGGAATACGGAAGCCCAAATAGAGAAAAAAATTACAATAAAACATTCGAGCGTTCTATTCCGTTCGCGCTAAAAGTGACAATTATTGCGGTTGTCAAAGTAGCTAATGACTAACATAATATTTGTATACATTACAAATTCAGGAAAAATTATTTGACGAGTGATTTTATTTAGAAACTGGACTGAATTAACTATTTCTTTAATCTGGGTCAAATCCTGTGTATTTGCAGACAAACCGACTATACACAATACTTAACTTAAGTCATTGATTTGTAAACATCCTTATGCGTGCAGCGGGACTTCCGTAAAAAAAATAGGGTTTATGGCTCAACAGAGCCTTTTGAATTAAATGATAGACAAAAGAATTATCAAGGAATGTTAAATATATTATGTATACAAATAAGATATAAAATTAATCCTGAATTTGTAATAAAATAAACTTGGATTGATTACATTATTAACTAACAGAGAAAATAACTTTTTTTAAGATTGAATGAATCAAGTTAAATAAAAAATAACCCTTCCATTCACATTGCCACTTTAAAAAATTTTATTAATAAATTGAAGATAAAATATTACAAACTCTTGAAATGAAAAGTAAGTGTATAACAAAGATGAGTCATTAATAAAGTTTGTTTCATCCATATTAAAATGCGAGTCTTTTTAGTCTAGAGAAACATCAACAAATCAGTGAAAAATCCCAAAATACTTGGATTTTTTTTTTCAGCTTCCAGAATCAGCAAACCAATTTTAAGAAATTAATCGGTTGCTAAACAAACTTTTTTTTTTTAAAATCATATAACTTGTTTTGAATTGTAAAATGAAAGTTATCAAAAACTTTCAATTAAAAAAGTAACTTACTGAAAATTATTTATTTCCGCCTTTTTTATGCCCTATGACAGTTTGTTTTTAATTGAAAATTAAAAGAAAAATATTAAATCCAGAAATGTTTTGGCAAAACACCTTTTTAGTGTCAAGGTAAAAGAAAAGCAAATTATTTTCCATGAGGAAGAAGGATTCTTAAAAGTTAAAACTAAAAAGGAAAATATCGCCATAAAGACAAACATGAAAATAAAGGGGTGTGCGATCCCTAACATTACTTTGTAATATTAAAATTTTGTTCGGGTTTTAGTTTGTTGTTTTGTTTTTTTTAAGGTGCAGGTTTATAAATGAGAAAATATTAATAAACAGAAAACAAAAAAACAAAAAAAAACTCTTGTGTGTATGTGGGGGGTTATGGTGCCTCTACTTCAGATGGGTCTCTTTATAAAACACTTTTGAGTTGACCGAAACATTTTCACTTAAAAAATATTTTTAAAATTTGTTTCTCTTCGTATTTAAAGAAAAATATAACTTGTTGGGTCAGAATTAGTGACGTTTTCTTGAACGACGTAAACCCGTTTCGTTTTTTTTTTGATCGATTTAAATCATTTTATTGTTAAAAATATTAGGATTAAAATTAGACTGTATCAAAGAAAAATATATAGATAAAAAAACGTATTTTCTTCAATAAAAAACTAAGTTATTTTAGCTGATAATTACATTTCTAAACAACCTAAGAGCCACAGCAAATCATGGCTAAAAAAAAGGATATGTTAAAAACTCTGTTCATTTTCATTTGATGTAATTATAAATTAAATACGACTTTAAGTTGATTATCATCAACTATGTGCAGTTCCATAAAACTGCACCACCATTTCCCCATTATTAATGCACAAAGATTAAGGATTAGATTTGATTTCTACACAACCAGGAAAATGCCACTGGAAAGATTGAAGAATGATAAAAATAACTGCCAACAATAAATAAAATATTTTAAATAAACAGATATTTTTTAAATCTTCAAAATATAAATCGAGGGCCATGTGCTTATTTCACTTTGAGATGAGGCAGGCCAAAAACCACATGGCAATTTCTCCATTGTTCAAACTCAAAGTGAAGTGGGAAATTTCGAGGCGGCGGAGGGGTTGAAACGGATCTAGAAGGGGTTAGGAAAAAAATTAATTAAATTCAAGATCTTAATTAGTAATCAGGACAGCGGAATGTAACAAACAGCAATGAAAAAACGGTTTTCAGGTTGAAAAAAAATAAAATTAATAGCAAAATTAAGAAAATCAAACAAACGAAAAAGGCAGTTTTAAAGCATTTTTTTTACCAATGACTAGTAAAATATTTTCACTTTAATCAACTAGAAATGATACTTAGAAGAAATGCTTGTATGTTAGACTTGAATTTTCCTTTTTCTACATGAAAAAGGAGTATAACTATAGATTTCATTTTTTGCTAAATAGATTTTTTAGAATAATTAGGAAATTATAAAAACAAAACTTGTTTAAAAAAAAAAAAAAAAAAAAAGTTAGTTTCCACACTTGAAAATAGGAAGAGATGGAACAATTAAAATAATGAAAATGCCTTTTTTTTCCTTTTTTTTTTTTAAAAAAAAAAAATAAAAAAATAAAAAAAATAAAAATAAAATAAAAAAATAAATAAAATAAAAATAAAAAAAAATTTTAAAAAAAAGACATTTAAAATAAAAAATTATATTTATTTCCATCCCCATCATTTTTTTCTATCTTCAAACCAAAGCAATAGAAATAAAAAAAATATATAAACCATAGTAGGGAAACTTTCAAGACACTATTACAATTTAATTAAGGAATAATAAATAAAATACGGATTTCAACTCAGGGACATGTATAAAAAAAAATTTAACTCTTTAAAGGTGTTGTTGTTTTTTTTTCATTATTTTCTTCTACATAGGAAAATGTGAACCTCGTTATTTTTTTATATAAATATAGATATTATTGCTTACCTCCCAGGCATTGTAAAATTTCTTCATGCGCCTAAAAAATGCATCTTTATCCACCCTTAAATTAGCCATGACCCGATTTGTTGTCGGTGTTTTGGGGGCACCAAAAAAAGAGATCTATGTACAGAAAAAGAAAAACAGGCCAAAGTAGACTGCAGCACCGACCACTGCAGACTAACAAGAGAAAATGGCGGGAGTCAGTCGTCACTTACAGTCTTTCCTCCCACTTCCAACTGCCGACTCTATTAACACTCCTCCATCTGCTTCTTTCTTTCACTCACTCACTCATTCATTCATTTCAATATCACACCCCCTCTTATTTTATTTTATTTTTGTAATGTTTTTGCTTTTTGTTCTATATAATCACAAATTATTTAATTTACTTTAAGCAATTATTTCCCTACCATTGAAATCTAACTCCACAACAAAGTTAATGATCTAAAAATATAATTTCTATTTAATATTAATTAACTTTTCTCTGCGATTTCTCTTGTAATGATGCTTTTTTTAAATTTTAATATTTCATTTTTTAAATTTGTTTTTTTTTAACTAATTAAAAAAAAATTAGTAAATCTCTCAACACATGTATCCATTTTAATTTGAAACTTCATTTCAATTTTCCTATCACACTTTTTCTTCCAAATGACCGCATACAATATTTTTAAAACGGGGGGGCGCTGAAATGTTCTCAGCCTAACTTCTCCCAAATCTCACTAAATGACCAAACATTTCGCTTTTCATGTTCTTTTCTTTTTTGAAAGGCTCTTTGGTTGAGCTGAGAATTTTTAGCACTTCCCTTTCAGAAATCACATGTGAAAACACATGCAATTATTGTTATGTCTAAAAATGCTAAAAACGCTTATCTGGGGGGAGGGGTAAATTTTCTACATCTTATTGCTCGCGTTAGTGCTTATCCTTATATCTTAATCCCTCTTTCATTTTATTACCCAATGTTATTACCCTTATCTTTCCATCACCTAAACTCAAATCTTGTTCAAATTTTCAACAATATCATTTTCCTATTCTTTCTTGCTTGCTTTCACCATTTCTAAAATTTCCCTCCTTTTTCGCCTTTCTTCTTCACTTCTTTTCCTCTTCCTTTTCCTCTTCCTTTATTGCAATCATATTTAACTGCAGCCGTGCTTATTTTGTCCAATAGCCAAAATTAAACATCGTACCAATCACTTTAAGAAAAATCTATTATTTTTAATTCGTGTTTTTAGACCTAAATTTTTATTTTTAAATATACATTTAATTAAAGCTTTTGAAAAAATTTTACCTTTATCTTCCCTATTCCAACAAAGAAAAATTTCGAATATACTGCAGAGACATGAAAAATTACTACAAAATTTCTATATCTGTGTACATTTCGTGTACACATGTATATAATTTTCTTTGTATAGTACAAGAGTACCCAGTAAGAACTAAACTCATTGCATTGAGAATAGTTGTTTTCTAAACTGAACTATCCCCCAACAACAGGTGGTTCTTTCTTGAATTTCTCCTCTTTCTTTATCACACATACAAAAACACATGCTTAAGCTTATTAAATATTTAATCTGTAAGGAACAATTGATAATTTTAAGAATTTGCACAAGGCTGATCTAAATGAATAAATATAGAAATATAAACAAAATTACTTTTTCTAATGATCATCTGTTGATAAACAGTACAAGATGAAGGTCAATGTTCTCAACAGGAACATTTGAAAATATATAATGACCCTTCTCAATTTTCTTCTCAGTGAGACACCATGATTATATTAAATAGAAACATTTTCTGTCTTTATGGAAACAAATCTCTCACTCCATAAGATGCAATATCATGGTGATATGATATGCTTGTGATATCAGATAAGACCATAACATTTTTGAAACTATATTCAATAATAAAGTCAAAGAAAACTTGGCATTTTACTTTTATTATTGTTGTATCCTTAAAGAGGTTACAAACAAAGGTGGTACTTGAGTGAAAGTAACAGCAACACAGGTGTAAATGGAAGAAGAGAGGTTTATTGTAAAAGAGAATGCACTATTGAAAGACAGGGAATCAGTTAGCAGGCTAGTAATTCCCAAAGCCAGTCTCAGGTATCCTATGCACGTTATATATATTTACTGATATAGTCAGTCCACAATAGGCAATAAGGAGAGTGGAACATTCTATTACAACAATTATTATTTTTAAATGTGAAATGAAGTTTTAAAAATATTTATGAGTCAGCAGTGTTTAAATTTAATAATAAAAGTGGTAATAGCATAAATAATTAATGAACGAAACTATGTAATATTATATTACTATTTGTATGGTTCTGACTCCTCCAACCAAATGTATATATCCAATGAGAAACATTTTCTTAATTTCTTTACAAAATGACAATTTGCATTGTTGGACTTGTGGGATCAGCCCACTTTGTATGCCAGGAGACTTCTAATGCCCACTAAGTAGTGATGACATTGTATAAAGCTCTCTCTTCACACCACAGGATGACCTAATGTCAAAATGTGTTTCATTTTCAATCTAGGGAGGCTTCTAAGCCCCCAGGCAAACTTCATGTCACATACAACACACTACACTATCACCTATTAAAAAAATCTTATATGACCACAATAATATCTTTACAACAATCTATTACATAAATATATATATCTCCATTGAACACAATTTGGATGTGCAGGTTGTGTATTGGATAGCAGCTCAGAATGAGAAATCAGAGAGCTAAGTTACTTATACAAATAACCTTCAGAAAGATATGAGTCCATTTCCTACCCCCTGCTATGGGTTAAATATTAGGACGTGTATCTAGGAAAATTGTTATTCTCAGAAAATTGTTAATGCAATATCCACTCGCAAAAAAGAACTATTCTTACGCTACACTGGGTGGCATGTCACTGGCATTTACCATTGGTGGCCCACTGTCAGACCACCTATATGTTTGTCTCAGCAATGTTGCCACTGGCAAACCACTAGAGGACCTCCGGTGGCAGCCACTAGCAGGCCACCAGAGGACTATTGGCGTTGACACTGGCCGCTCGCCAGCGGGCCACTGGCAGTTTGCATGTAGGGATACCTTCCAAAATATGTTTCAGCTTTAAATAAGCCACAAAGAGTTGATAAGCCATAAAAAAAAACAAATCTATCACTCAATCAACCATTCAACTTAAGAAAATATCCCAATCCAACAAATGATAATGTTGCTATAAATGGGCTCCTGTAACAAACTAGTAGCATAATGTCATTACAATCTTCATTTTATTGTCTTGTTCTAATTTTACTTATATTATTTTGAGAGGGTGTATTAATATTGTCACTACCTGCCTACACACACACAAAACAACATCCATATAACAACAGACATCAATATCTTTAAACATCCTCATTTGGTCAATACCAATCAATGAAATACCTTCCCGCTTAAATCCTGTCTGGGAGCCTACCCATGGTTATTTAAGGAACAGGCCAAGATAGTGAAAACCAAAAGAGACACACAGAGGTACATAGATACAGACAGATGCATGATGCTGTTGCCATCTTTATGATCAGACCAAGAGATCATCCTCACAGACAATTGAAGAATGTATACAAATTACTGCACCATAGAAATATGACATGGAATATAAAGCCAAACAACTTCATACAACTCACAAACTAATCACACTTGAAACAGCAAAAGATTAAATCCAAGCATGATTTCTAACACTTTCAGTAAGAACCCTGAAAACTTCAACCCACTGAAGACAAGTCATCATACAGCTAAGTAAAACAAGAACTCTCTTTATATCTATCTCTATATGTTGCATAGTGGAAAGGAGGAATACATTTCGATCAAATCCTTCTGAGATTTATACAGGCCAAATTTCTACCTTTCTCCTTCCTACTATTCACAACAACATGATAAATCATTTTCATTTTTGTGCTTTATAAATGGAGTAAATAAATGTTGAATTCATTTATTTTGTGATTGTTGAAATTTTGAAGTAAATATTTTTACAAACTTCAAAAATGAAAAGATCATACTGGTAATTTCCACAGCTTAGTGTTCAATGTTATTTATATGTTTTCTTTGTTATCATCAAGGTTGGATTAAGGCCAATTGATGCTTAAGAACAGTCTAAGAATGACATACAACTTAGCCAAGATTTAATTTGTTAATTTAATAACAATATATTTATATAATTAAAATAACTACTTCTTTATGATGTAAATATAAAGTATTTTAATTAATGAGAAATTCTGGAACTCATTTTTCATATGAATATAATGCAACTCACACAGATATCTGTCCTTTTGGCTGTGGCTGTAGAATACACCAACTACACCTCTGTAGAGGGATAAGATTTCCCCCATGAGGCCACCTGCTTGCAGTAAGTGATGACTTGTAATGCCTAATGACAGAAACCTGGAAGCAGTACTGTCTATGACCTGGGTATATAACACCCTTTATTATTTTAAAAGTGCTAGAAATCAGTGGCTGAAGGTCACTTGAGTTGAAGAGAAAGAAACTTTGACCACTGTTTCAAATTAAAGCATCAGAATTTTGGGTACTGATGCTCAAAATTAACAGAAGCTCAAAGTCCTCTCTCGATGAGAGTATACTGTTAGATATATCCCCATTTCAACCAAGGTGAATGGGTTTAATCCCCTTGATAAATTTCCAATAGTAATTGGACTCAGTGGTGAGTGGTGGAGCACAGGACCAATAAAAAAATCAGAAAAATCAAAAGGTAAATATCAATAAAAATCTCAAAAGACATATCTCTGACTGATTCCGAAACAGAATCCACAACAGAATTCTCATGATTCATAGAGATAAACTACTCTGGTCAATCTGTCACTATTTTTTATTAAAAAAGTCATTAATAGCAGTGCAAGTTCATGAACAGTGAGGAAAATGAGAAGTAGCAACCTACTGGTGGAAATCAACAGTAAAAAAACAAGCAGATAATATACTCAAAATGAAGGCTTTTCATAATTTGAAGTGCAAAAGCATATCCACATGAAAGACTGAACACCTCATTAGTCAGAAATAGGGT